AGGGAACAGAGAATGCAAAGGAACCGGTGAAGCTGAGGAATAGTGGATCATCCTTTATAGAAATGCATATCCCCTCTCTTTTTTTTTTTTTAAAGATTTATTGGTGCATACAGAACCGGGGTACAGGCCAGAGGCTCAGGGGCGGTGAGAGGCTTCACCAGAGAGAGTCGGGAGCAGAACAGGCAGAACAACGAAGTACACTGCTGAGGGGAGCAGCAGAGGGGGGCGGGTCAAGAGAGGTCTGCCGCACCATGTGGTCACCTCCAGGGCAGGCGGGAATCAAACTCGTGCAGAAGTGGCTTTAGCTTCTTAGTGCTGTGCTTTAATCTGCTGTGCCATCAGGGAGGGCCCCCTCTCATTATTTTTAATGTGAAATGCAAAATTTGGATTTTTCAATTTTTTAAAGGTAGTAAGGACAATTAATTTGTTAATAGTAAATGTAGAAATGTGAGCAATTACCCTCACTGTCCCATGCCAGATACTTGGTGGTAAGCAAGTGGATCTGTAGATTAGAATCCTCCAAAATGGGAAGGACAAGGAGTCCAAATAAGTGACCAAAAAAAAAAAAAAAAGAATTTCAACCGCTTATTTAGGGAATTGACAAAAACCAGGTGCTAACACAGTCAAGATCCAAAGTGGTAGGAACTAGAGCAGCAGTCAAAAGAAAGTCAAGTAATATTGGCAAGATCAGCATTTTAAAACACATAGGAGGTGCTGGCAAACCAGCAGTTTCCTTATTACTTGCCTCTTAAGAGGACGAAAAATGGTGCCTTGGACAGGCTGGAAGGAGAATACCAAAAGGGACATCACAAAACCAAAGAAGTAGGGAGAAACCAGAGCAAATAGGACTTTGGTAACAGAGGGAAGAGATTTTAGGCACCCATTTCCTACCTCAGAAGAAAACAGCTACAGTTGCAAAACAGGGATTTTAGGAAACTGATAGTCTCTATAACTTACTTCCTTTCAAATTTTTTATGTAGTTGAAAAAATTTAAGAGACATGAGCTCATCATTTGTTTGTGCTCATCATTTGCTCATATTTCTCCACGGAAATACATACATACAACACACAAATGCAAACAAATGGGAATAATTGGTATAAAGAATATCATTTTTGATTGTGTAACAGCAAGGCTTTTGCTATTTTTAGGAGGCTGAACATTGAAATGGGCCCCTAAGGAAGACTGTGGAATCTCTATATAGTCAAAAAGTATTTATTGCTATCTTTGAAGGATCATCATTAAGAAAACTCCCTAAGCTGGAAGATTTAGTTCTTTGCTTTTGTAAGAAAAGGTAGTGAACAATCTTAACAATCTTCCTTGCTCTAGAATATTTAAAAACAAACAAACAAACAAACAAAAAACATGATTCAGTAGAACTCAGAATTCCAGAGGTAAATTGTTAGAGTTGTATGTTGAAATGGTCAGTGCTGTGTGTTGACTTTCTTTAAAAAATGTATTTTACCTCTCACCCTGGTGGCACAACAGGGTAAAGCACTGTACTATGAAGCTCACAGAAGCCACTGCAGCACAAGTTCAATCCCCATTCAGGGAGCTGACCCACATGGTGTGGCAGACCTCTCCTGACCAGCCCGCTGCACCCCTCAGCAGTATGTTTCAGTAGATCCACATGTTCTGTTCCCCACTCGTGTCTCTGGTGAATCCTCTCACCACCACACCTCTGGCCTGTACCCCAGTTCTGTAAGTATAAATAAATATGTCTTTTTAAAAAAATGTACTTTATATAGACTGTTAAATTTGATTCTTCAGTTTGTTGACCTTCACAATTAGCTGTTATTCAGAGAAAAAATAATAATATTTCACTCTCACATTACCCTGTTCAGTTCTGGCAGCTAACGTTTTCTATCTTTAAGTCAGAATGAAGATTAAAGCTAGAAATAGTTTGCTAATTAGCATAACAATCAAATAAAAATGCCCTGTCTTATAGTTTCCAAAATATGCCCTTGTGAACCTATGTTCTATCCTTTTCCCTACCTGTACCTCCCAAATTTTATCTTCATTATGGAACTAAAGCACCTTGAATTCTAGAAACGTGAACTGTGATTGCATTTCTTGACCCCAAAGAATTTAGGGAGAAGACTTTTGAGCAAGGCCAGAGGAAATATATCCAACAAAATGAGAAATGAGTTAACTAGCAGGACTGAAATTTACTTTGTAAAATGTAAATGGTATAAGGGAACTCCTGATTAACTTGCTTTCGATCTAAGGTTTAAAGTAAAAACTATAGGATAACCTCAGGACAAAAATACCTGTAAGAAGAAAACAGAAACAGAATTTGCCTACCACACAAAAAGTAATTTTTAAGATACTTTTAAGATACATGAAGAAGAGTTCTTAAGTGTAGAAATAAAAACAAAAACATCCAGAAAACAACTGGCAGCATACACTGATATCAATTCTAAATGTCAACAGTCTGAATTCACCAATCAAAGAGGCACAGAATGACAGGTTGGATCAAAAACCAAAGTCAACTTTCTGCTGTCTCCAGGAGACCCATCTGAGTGCCAAAAATAGACAGGCTCAAAGAAGGCTAGAAAAAATTTCAAAACCAAAGTAAGGAAGGGACAGTCATATCCATGTCAGATAAATAGACTTCCAGTTAAAATAGGCAACAGGAGACAACATTGCCTTAAAAAAAAAAAAAAAAAGATGTGTCGTATGATCCAGAAATTCCATTCCAAGACACACACACACACACACACACACACACAAACACGTGTACACATAACAGCACTAATTTGAAGGGATATACGCATTCTTACTTCATTGTAGCACTATTCACAGCCAATACATATCCTAAGACCCAAGCTTTTCAATCATGAAGTTTTTACACCTTCATATATAAAAAGGCAGAAAAAAATATATACACTTATTAGATATTAAATACAAATTATGGCATTGATATTGATACATTTGTCAGATTAGGAATTCCCAGAGGGTCTTATGCATCTTTGAACTTTCCTCCCTACTTCATCCCCACAATTGCAACGCTATTTTATACACTAGAGGTGCCAAATTAATCAAAAAGTATGTGGTGAGTGGTATCTAGTGTGTGGTAATATGTGGTTTCTTTTACTGGAAAGACAGTGGAAAGAAGTTGCTCTGTTCACCACAGGAGATTATTAGCTTTTCATTATGGCTTGAAGAGCTTAGAATGAAATTGACATATCTTGTGCTACTATTAGCAACCAGCCTCTGGGCTGAAACAACTAACATCTATGAAAAGAGAAGATTCCAAAAGCAGATTTTGACAACTGTCTAATTTTTATTCTCCTTAAAGCTCTGTGTCGCCATGAGTGTTGCTAATTTGATTCAGATTTGGTATTTTTTTCTCTGAGAATCTGATTTTTCAGACTGAAATCAGTGTGTGACATACAGTAGGACAGACTAAATGAGAAACAAAAGTCATTTGCTGCATATACCTGTAATAAAATTCAGTTATTGCCATGATGTGATCATATTCATGAGGTTTTTATGTAATGAAAGATAACTTCTCTTTTAATAATATTCACAACACCTTCAATCCTTTGATATCCCTAGGAGAAAGGAAAGCGGCAGTTGTGATATTCCTTCATTAGATAAGAAAACAGATAGAAAAAGACATATGTTGGTTATTCAGCAAGTTAGCAATCATATCACAAATCCAGAGCACTTCATGCTGAGGTCTCCAAGAAAGACGTTGGCTAAATGTCTAGTGACCTTTGATATCCATTTGAACTAAAGGTCATATCCTTATTTAAAACAACCCAAGTCAGGAACCTGAGAAGTCTTATTTGCATAGGAAATCCACAATCAAAACTTTACAGAAACATACTACTGGCATCCTAGTAACCTGCACAGCTTGAACATATGCTATCTAATCCTTTTTTAGAATTAAAAAAAATCCAATCCTGGAACTTTCGGTGCAGCTTAAAGTACAAACCTAGGACAATGCCCTTATGACTGAGTTTGAATTTGAATGAAGAATTTCAGTAACTTTAAAACAAATTGTGGCTATGCCACTACTATTTTTTGTTTTGTTTTGTTTAAGGGACTACAAATAGGAAAGATACTAAAAACTGAGCCAATTTTTTTTTTTTTAATTTGACAGGACATGTTAAAATGTCTTCATTTGGTATGGCTAGCATCCAGCTTAAGGAAGACAGTTTCAGGAACTAAATCTAGCTGGTTAGTAATATTTTGTTGTGAGCCTGGTGCTACACAAATGTGATTTGATTTTCCTTCTATAGGTCACAGCCTATAGAAATCTGAATCTGAAACATTATGGCTAGGGAAATAAAGTAGTTTTGGGAATCAGAAAAATAGATTTAAATTCAGCTCAATCACTTGCAGCATGTGAAGAAAATGTTCAGTTTCTCTGAACTTCAGATATTTTATTTTTACAAAAAGTGAAGAAACTTCTAAATGAGTGGAACCTTATAAACAGGGACCTGGAGGTAAATGTGATAGAAGGCTCTGGGTTTCACTAAAGGGGGTAGGGAGTGAACATGGACTAAGTTCAATGAGTAGGACCAGAATAAGGATATGCACTTAACTCAGAGGCTAGCTAGCAAGTAGAGTAACATCAGAAACGGGTATTTAAAAGATTGAGGGGAGACAAGGGGAGAAGCAAAATGCATTGAAGAGTAAAGTGCCTACTATTAGGAAGCCCCCACACCCCTTCCCAGAAATGAGTTGCAGTCATTCATGTGTGAGGTAAAGTAGTTTTATGATAAAGGAAACATATGGAAGAAAATCAGTAGAACTTGATGACCTTCATTTTCATAATATCTTTTTCATATACATATGACAGTATAAGAAGGGTGAGTCAAAGATGACTAAGTTTTAAGCCTGGGTGATGATAAAAATAATGATATAATACACAGAGAATGAAGATGGAAGAACAAAAAGCGTTTCCAAGATATTGAATTAAAGCATAGTGATGGCAACTCAGCCATAGGGAAACATTGATTTTTTTTTTTTTTTTTTTTTGGTGATATAGATCTGGTGAAGTGGACAGACCCACATTAAGTATGATGGAGATTGCTGAAACTACTGGAACAGATGAGTCCCTGGTGAATAGAGAAAAGGAGGAGCATAATTCAGGATTTAAGGTGGGAAGTTGGAGGATCAAATACTATGTGTAAAGTACTTAGCGCAGTGGCTGACATTTAGTAAAATCAGTAAATGGAAACTTTTACTACAGCTAAGAACTCATGGATAAAAGGTAACAAAGAAGAGGAGAGAGGCTTCCATGGTAAACTACAGCAGTGGCCCTTTCTGATTAGAGAATGAATGGTCTTCAGGTAAGAGTTAGGCCTCAGAGCAAAGGGTGTCCTGGGACTTCCCATAACACTCCTTATCAAATCCAGAAAGGAACTGCATTTTAACTGCTTTTCTGGTGGGTTGTATGCCTGCAAGAAGTGTAAACTGATCATTGAGACATTAACTGGAAATTATGTCAACTATAACCCATACCTCTTTTTTTTTAAGCCAATATTTGTGAGAATCTACCATTACTTTTCTAGCCAGTTAAATCAGCCTTGGAAATACAAAGTATGGGTCAAATTAGTCTCATTTCGATTAAAACCAAGGGCAGTGAACATCAAATGGAACAGAAACTCTTACTTTGTAGTATTCCTCTAACTTCATGGCAACTTAACGCCAGTTTATAGACCTGGACAGTCTCCAGTAAAACATGAGGCCCTTTAAAATAATGCACTCATGGTGCCCTGCTTGCCCATGTGGACAGATACTCCTAGAAAATCACTCATTCCCTCATTGACATATATTGAACGCATGCTGTAATCCAGGCACAGCATCACCCTCCCCTGCACTGACCAAAAGAATGTTCTAAAAAAGAGAAAGTCAATAGAGAAATAGAGAAGTGGAGAGAAAATAATTAGTAAAGGCCAAAGAGACATAGACAGTTAATAAAATGCCACAAAGCATTCAAGTCTTCATTTGTCTTCATAAACGCTATTCATTTTATAGCAGAGGAAATAATTACATCTATAGGTTACTCAATCCTAATTTTGGAATTCAAGAACAAAATAATGTTTAAAAAATAGTTTTTCCACTTTCCCTACATTAATCCAGCATGAACACAAATACATCTCTGTAAAGGCTGATGGGAGAAAAAGGGAGGGAGAATATGATTACTGCCAGAACTCAACAAGACAGGAACAAAAAAGAATTTTACTGGCAGAAATTAGAAATTGTTCTTCTCACTCCACCAACACATAATAAACGCAGAACTACCTTATGCTGCCTTTATAAACTGTGTTACAAAAATGATGCCTCAAAAGACAAGCAAAATTTGCCATGCCAAAAAAAAAAAAAAAGCACTGCCCCACCCAGCACACCTGAAAGTATTTTTTAAATATTTAATTTTTGCCCACAATATTTTTTATATAAACCCTGTTAGTTCATAAATTAAGCTAAAACTTTTTTTGGCCACAGGCCTTTGCAAATGCTCCAGAACAGATTGAAAAACATATGATGCAATCCTTAGAGTTAATAAAAACTGTCACACATGCACACAAGTTAAGTGTTTCATGCATGAGACATGAGTGTTTCAGAAAGTACCAGACATGTGTACTGAGTTGTTAAAAGTGAGACTGTCTCTTTAGCCAGGGCCCCTAAAATACTGAATGGCGGCCACTCCTACATATGAAAGTAAGCAGGATTTGCCATCTTGTGCCATTCGTTGATCATCCATTCTCTGCCCAGACAAATAAGGCTAGTAGTGATACTGAGATTGAGAAAAGGGATTCTTCTCCAGTAAGCTATGGATATGTGGTGGCATTTCCTTTCTCTATCATGCTCACCTTGATCTGACATGGACCCTCGATTACACTGCAGGCCCAGGGAGAGGAGTGTCAAGGAGACCCCTACAGTTGATATGAGATTTCAGATCAACTACAGCTCATGACCCACCAGAGGGCTCTCTGAGGAGGCCATAATGCATGATTAATGAGTTCTCTTGCATCCCTGCCCCAGCCAGAGAAAATTAAAACCACTACATTGGTGCTAGTCAGACTTTTGATGCCCCACACCTCTCCTGCCTCCCACATTTCAAATTTTAAAAGGAGCCAGAGAGAGACAGTCGAGTGGAGCAGAAGAAAAGGAAACAACCCACATCAGGTTGAAGCAAGTCCAAGTCGGGGGAAAGAAGAAAGAGCTTTGAATGAAGTTAGCATTTTCCTTCTTATACTGGACTAGATATATTAATGACTGAATTAAGGCTGTTTTTAGAAAACTAGTCTTGGAGACAAGATAGTATGATCTAATTGTGAACACATATGCATGCTATCTGTGTAAAATTTCATCTAAGAACAGAGGAAGTTGAAATTAAAGATTTCAGGCAGCAAAGGAAAGTACAAAGCATTTTGTCCCGATCTCTGTGACCAGCTGCAAGGAAGAAAGATGGGAGGCAGAAGGCTGAGCAAGCAGAGTTTATTGCTCCCGGACAGCAGCTGAGCCAGAGACCCGAGGATGGAGTCCACAGCTACTGCCCATGCTATAGGGGAAAAGGGTCTCTTATATAGATTCTAGGTTCAGATTCCAAAGGGGTGACTCATTGCTGTGCCCCTTGATGCTAGGCCCAGTTCCTACCGGTATCTCCCATGTGAAGCCCAGTTAATTATCACCCTTGGATGCGAAGCCCAGTTTACTATCACCCTTATCTAGTCCTACCAGTAATTGTTGTGTTATCACAGCACCTAGTCACTCCCAACACAAAGTTGTGTTCTGTTTGCCCCTTATTGTTTCCTATAAGCCCACAGTCTCACGGACTTAACCATGTTTTGCTCCTTATAATTTACTTCACTGCCAATTCCTACCTAACCATAGTTGATTAGACCAGAGTTGACATCTGGCCAAAGTCAGCCAAACAGGGCCCTCCCTGGTGGCGCAACGGGTTAGGACTCAGCACTGCAAGCTGGCAGCAGTATTTCAGTGTGAGTTCAATCCCTAGCCCCTGGAGATGACCTACATGGCGCCTCAGACCTCTCCTGACACGCCCGCTGCTCCCCTCAGCAGTGTACCTGGTCTATCTGCCTGTTCTGCTCCCCACTGTCTCTGGTGAATCCTCTCACTGCCCCTGCACCACTGGCCTCTATCCCAGTTCTGTATGCATAAAAAAAAAAAAAAAAAAGTCAGCCAAACAATAGCTCAGCCAGAGACCTGTGGCAAGCCCTTGAGCAAAAAGATAAGTAAGACAATCAGTTTCCTTGGCCTGGGAGTATATGTAAAAGAATTTAACCATGGGCATTGAAGATAAAATATCATTCACTCATTTGATAAATATTGATTGAAGGCATTAATGTTTTTATAAAAAAATAAAAACAATGTCCCTGTTTTCAAGGTACCCAGTTTTCTAGTACAGAAGTAGACAAAAAGCAGTTTAAATATAAATAAATTGGATGACCCACTATTATTGCCATAGAAACAGAAGTAAACAGATTATCAGGGTAAGGAATGACAAAGGCAGAGGCCCTACTCCAGGTAAGAGGGTCTGGGCAGGATTTGCCAAGGTGTGCTATTGGAACTGAGACCTGAAAATTTCTATCAATCCACATTTGTAAAGTGTCAGAGAAAGAATGTTCCAAAAAGAAAGGGAAGCAAATGCAAGGAACCCGAAGAAGTATATTGTTAGGTACCTTCCCCAGACTAACAGACGGCTAGAGCAATCAAAATGAGCAAGAGGAGAGATGAGCTCAGCGAGGCAGCCAGGAGACAGGCCATACTGAGACTGGCAAGCACTGGCGAGTACAGTGTGACCTAATGAGACAGAATTGAAGCCACTGGGGACATGAAATATACCTTTAAAAAGGATCAGAGGCTGAACAATAACTATAAGCCATTTGGTAAAAATGGCTAGATAATAAGTGTTTGAGTCTTATTAGCCCACAAAGCCTCCATCACTACTCAACTACTCAACTCTGCTGTTGCAGTGTGAAACAACTGCATGCGATATAAATGAATTAGTATGCCCGTGTATCAGTAAGTTTATTTCTAGACAACAAAATTTCCATGTGTCAAAAAATATTCACTTGATTTTAAAACTAGTTTAAAATGTAGAATCCATTCTTAGCTCTTGAGTCTTAAAAAAACAAACTAATGAGCAGGATTGACCTATAAAGCAGATTATCAGCCACTATTCAATGTGCCTTACTTCTAATTAACTCATAATACTCTCAACAATCCTGTGGAATAGTTACTATTAATATATTCCCTTTAAAGAAGAGGAAACCAAAGATTCCCACAGCTAAAAATAATTGGCACAATCAACATATGAACCAAGCAAATATGATCCAGATTACATGTTAGTTTTGCAATCCTACTTTATGCTAATAAATTCAAATTTAGCATATTCAAGAGAAGCACATTGACACCAAATAACCAAATATCAGTTTTGTTTTGTTTTTTTTTTCAGAGCCCTGGAGATTAACCTAAGACTTGCAACAACCTGAGGTATATACTTAAAAAATATGTCAAATTTGGCAAGAACAAGTTTTGAGGTATTTTAACTTGTCTTATTCCCATACCTCTTTGCAGATTTTCATAACCTTGAAGATAACCAGTCTATGAATACAACAGCTGTGAAGTCAGCAGCCTAAGAGCCATGGAGAGACAGAGAACTGGTTTAGAGTACCTTAGTGTCAGGGAATTCTCACTATTTGACCTGACAACTTCCTGGAAACCCCAGTTTGCAGGACTTTATTTTATCTGGCTCAGATCTCAGTCAAGGTACACAATCTTTCCCTGGGATATTTGTCAAAAACAACTAGGGGTAATTGTTTAATGTCAAAATGCCTAATGGGGAGATAATTATTAGAACAAATAGAGGACCCCAAAAAGTCAAAAAGTTAGAGAATGAGATATACACAGGGAGCATTTGAAAAGCTCCACCATATTCCTGGAAATTCTGTGCAAGGCTGTGTTTATGCCCAAGAAAGATCTAAGAAGGCCCTAATCGCTTAACTCTGACTGATGGTGAAACTCTGTATAAGCAGAAGTCAAGGACAGGCAGGGCAGTACTCTGTCAGAGTCCCAGCACGCGTGCAGAGCACATCAACAAAGGCTGGGAGACATGCTGGCTAAGTGCTTAAGGCAATCACTGTGCAATTGTTGACTGACTATTCAGATAACCAACAGAGACTTCAGGAATGGAATATGGCAAAGAAAACAATTTACAGAGTTATTTCAGAAAAGTTACTAACCAATCTTCAACAATAAGGGGAAAAAATCAGAATAAGGACAAAATCTGGGGGGAAAGGGACAATCTGATACCTAGAGTTGCTACTTTATATTATTCGAAATGCCGAGTTATCAACAACTAAATAAATCAAGATACATATACAAAGAAACAACAAAAATCATCAATGGAATGTGTCCCTGAGGTCCTCCTTGATGGCACAAGGGTTAGGCCCAACACTGTAAGCTGGCTGCAGTCACTTCAGTGTGAGTTCGATCCCCTGTCCCAGAAGTGATCCGCATAGCATAGCAGACCTCTCCTGTCTCACCCGCTGCTCCCCTCAGCAGTGTACTTTGTCAATCTGCCTGTCCTGCTCCCCACTCTGTCTCTGGTGAAGCCTCTCACTGCCCCTGCACCTCTGGTCTGTACTCCAGTTCTGTATGCATAAATAAATAAATTTAAAAATTTTTTTGTCCCTGAAAAAGCCTAAATATTGGACTTTCTTAAACAAAGACTTTGTTAGCTATTATAAATATGCTCACAACTCAAGAAAATCTTGTCTAACAAGGTATGGTATTGAAAACTGATCAATGTAATACATCGTTATTAGTAGACTAAAGGACAAACCACAGGTAGCTGTAGAGCATAAAAGTTAAGAACTCAGGCCCCTGAAACCAACTACATAGGTTTCTACAAAAGTTTCTCTACGAGCTGTGTAATCTTGAGCAAGTCAGAAATCTTTCCCCCAAGGTTGTTTTGAAGATTGAGTTAACATACTGTAAAGAGCTTAAAATAGTGCCTGATCGATACTAGATGCAAGGCCCAGGACCTTCTGTTATTACTTTCTATGATAAAAAAATAGACTTTTTATTACTAAACTTGTTAAAGACTATGGAAACTGACATATAACTCCAAGTAGTATTTGTAGGCATGCCACAAGTATCTCAATTCACAGGTTCAATTTATTATCTTTAAGAAAATGCTATTGAGAATAACTACTTTCAGAGGTTAAAATCAATTTGTCAAAATGAGAATAAAGATTAAACAATCAAAATCTTGATACCCCTACTTAAACTTATTTTTCTCCCAATGTTTTCCTTAGAAAATGTAACCAGTTTCTTGGGTCAAAAAAAAAAAAAAAGAAAAGGCCCTCCCTGGTGGTGCAGCGGGTTAAAGCACAGCACTGAGAATCTGAAGCCACTTCCGCATGAGTTCGATTCCCGCCTGCCCCGGAGGTGACCACATGGCGTGGCAGACCTCTGCTGACCCGCCCACTGCTCCCCTCAGCAGTGTACTTCGTCGATCTGCCTGTTCTGCTCCCCACTCTGTCTCTGGTGAAGCCTCTCGCCACCCCTGAGCCTCTGGCCTGTACCCCAGTTCTGTATGCATAAATAAATCTTAAAAAAAAAAAGTCATGTTTTCATTTTTCTTCTCTCACCTTCAATATTCAATACACAAGCAAATTCTCCAAACTTAGCCCCGTCCATACACTTCCTTCCTCCCCATCTGTAGCCTGCTAGTCCAAACCGTCCTCAACGCTCTCCCGGACTGCCATATTAGCTTCTCCTGGATGTGCTTCTCTGCTCTCTGTGCCTCCCTCTCGCCGACATGGTCTAGTCCCCATCCAACAGCTAGGATGACACTTGGACACTGTAAGTCAGCCATGACTGCTTTCAACCTGCCCTTACAGGGCTGTCTATAGCCTGCCCCCAGATAGCTCTCTGATCTCTGTAATGTACAAATGTCCCCTGCTCTCAGTCAGCACTACTGATTTTTGCCTGGATCTTTTAGCAAAATTAGACATTCTTACCCTAGGATCTTTCTTACTTTGGGTGTTCTCTGCAGAAACTCTCCCCACTACTCCTCTCAGATCCATTCAGATTTCTGCTCAATTTTACCTCCATAAAGAGGCTTTCTCTGACTATCTTATCTAAAATTATACCCTCTGTTCTTATCCTGGTTGATTTTTCTTTGTAGCATTTGTTGTTTTCTGACATTCCAATCTGTGGTCTCCTTATTGCCTGTCTCTTTGCATTCCCAAGTTTGAACTCCATTAACAGGTCTGCTTTGTTCACTGCTGCATTCCTGTTGCTTAATGCAGTCCCAGGCACATGGCAAATGATCGACTAACGTTTTGTGAATGAATGAAGAGAGAGCCCATCAGAAGAGCAAAAAAAACATTAAAGAAGCTGTATGTCTCTGAGGCAAAGCAGCCAGTCTTCAGAACTGCTTTGGCCCTCACCAGCTACGCAGTCTCAGTTGCAGTACAAGGGTATCTTTGCAACAGCCATCCTCATTCATCTCTGTTCCTTACAACCAAAAGAACTTAACCAAACCCAAGATTGGTGCCAGGATGGCTGTGAAGTAACAGGCTGAAGAAAGTGTGGCACTGACTCTGGCTCACCACCAGGGTGAAGACAGCAGCACCCCTCTTCCTAGTGTGAGAAGGAAGAAGTGTAGGGGCTGAGAACACAAGTCTAGAAGATAACCTGTGGGCTGGAATACCTTGAGCCCTCAAGAGATAAACCTTTCAAGGAACTTTAACACCATTGCCTTAGATCATCTCTGATGAAAGTAAAGGAGAGCAATTTATTACTTTTCATTTTCTTAGAGTATCACAGGAAGGGACAATCTTTGTTTACAAGTTGCACAGTTAGTGGAGATAACCAGTGTGTAACCTGTTTACCTTTGTCCTGTGTCTTATAAATCAATGTGGCAACAAACACCCAGACCAAGTGTAAAAAAGGTAAAGACAAATTATCCTGCCTCATATTGGAGAATCTAGTAGACATGGACAGTGCTGCATGACCTCCCCTCCTTGGAGCTGCCACAGCTCTCCTCCTGAGGCAGTGTGGATGGAGACCCAAGAGCAAGCTCCTCTCCCAAGACTTGCATGTGGAAGCTGAAATTAAGTTCCCCGGTCCTGGCCTATTCCCCACCAAACACAGGAAGCTGCTTTGCGTGCAAGCTTGGGGGAGGTAAGCAGATCATGAGCCTGGGCTGTAGGTAGCTACAGGTGAACTACAGAAGCTTCACCCTTTTGAGAGGTACAACTCTGCTCAGGCCCTGCTGGTGATAACTGAATGTGTCTATATAACATAACCCTTGCTCTGCTGCTTTAACAGTTGCTGCTGAGAACCAGGTCCCAGAACTACTTAATGTAGTAAATGTTTTCAGTTGCCTCCAGTTGTAATTTGAATTCTTAAGAAGCAATCAGTTATATTAACTATGACAAGCTTCCAGTAGATACCTGTGCATTTTGTCACATGTAACCACCTATGTATTTAATGATTTAAATCTTAGTTAAGAAAAAAAAAGTCATGTTAAGACCTACAGTGAAATTCATTTTATTTGTTGCCAAACAGAAGTTCTGATATAAAAATTTAAAGCATCTGAATTTGCTAAGATTAGATATGGCTGCAAGTAACAATGACTTAAACAAGGTTGAAGTTTATTTGTCAGTAACAGAAGATGGCCCACAATCCTCAGGCAAAAGTGCTCCTTCCTTCCCACTGTTTTAACATCTCATGAAAGTCTTTCTTCTCATGGTCTAAGAAGATAGCCAGTGCTCAGTCATCACAACATTCCCAATAGCATAATGGAGAGAGGAGTGAAAAGAGCAGTTTGACATAATTGCAAAATATTTATGCCAAAAATGTAACCACAAATTATAAATGTGACCTGAATTTTGATCACAAGGACATAATAACAGCATATTATTGGGAAAGAGGCAACACTGCTTTTCTTTAATATATTATCATTTGCCCTGGAGAAGTTCCCTTTTTTATTCTAACTAGCTAGGTCTTCTCTGGACCCTGCATTTTCTTGTCTTATTTTTCTTGTAGAAGCCTCTGAAGGGCTATTGCGTATTAATAGAATATGAATCTTACCTCTGAGAGATAATAACACTCCCAAGGAGTCACACATATTATTGCTTTGTTATTTTAGTAAAAGATTTAATTTAAGCTAAGAATTATTTAAATACACAAAATCTAACTGCACAGAACAAAAGCAGATTCAAATCAGGCATCATCTCCACGAGCACTTCCATGAGCTACTGGATGGAATTAATCTCAGCCTCTGCTCCTGTAGCATCCCCCTTGCACCTCCATTGAATCTGTCTGTTATGCCTCATTTTGAGATCGTCTATAAACAAATCTGTCTCCTCCACTAAAATGGAACTCATTTTGCTAGCCTCTGAATCCCAGTGCCAAGCACAATACCTGGTATCTAACAGGTACCAAACAAAGGGTTCAGTTGAAATGAGAAAAGGTGGATGATTAGCCTCCATCTGTTCCTGAATGCAGACGCTGTCAAAGGGCCGACTGTTCCGACTGTTCCGACTGTTCCGACTGTTCCGACTGTTCCGACTGTTGTATTTTTCTCTCCCTTTCCCTTTTCAGTTTATCAGCTCATTCGAAGGTCTACTAAACTGTACATGTGTAAAAATGTATCTTTTACATTGACCTTTTCAAGATATGGATTTTCCTCTAGAAATTCCCACCTGTAGTACTTTCTTCTCTGGACACTGTTTCCTCACCCCCTTCTTCAAACCTTTATACACACACCAATGAAACAAGAGAAAAGGAACTTTATTCCCTTCCTCCACCATATTCTTCCCCTTCCTTCCTCTGGCTCTATTGTTCCAAGGAAGGACACTTGGGCCTGTCTTGGAAGAACTAATTATGGTTTAATATATGTATATATATATATATACAGCAACTTCTCTACTGCAGATTTTAATCTTTATAACAAGACTTTCTAACTGCTTTCTTATCAAACATGGGTATAGTGCCAAAGATTTATGATTTAGACTTTAAAAAAGTCACATTGAAAATGGATTAGAACAGATACTCCCATGATGCCTTTCAGGCCAAGGAGTGGCTCTGCCAGTTTGCAAAGGGCCTGTGACAAGGGTCAAAAAAATGGAGTCCTTTCCAGCCCCAGCCTTGGGTCCATGGGCCCTTCTGCCATTTACTGGCAGCTGGCAGGATTATCTCTTGGTGCTCAGCTTCCCAGGCACCCACCAGATGCAGCTGCCAGGCTGAAAGAAAAGAAGAATTGATTTCAGCTTCCAACTTGAGAATGTCCTCACTCTGACCTTGAATAGCACTACTTGGCTTTGTTGCCAATCCTCAGTCCATAGCCAACGTTTTGCTCTCAGTACTGTTTTTGATGACTTCCCCAGGATTTTTTTCCTTCACTTCTTCTCTGTGGCCTCTCATCTTGGCTGGCCCTGTGCCCTGCCCCTCTCTAAGCCCAGCAGGCCCTCCTCGCCAACCAGGATAATGATCGGCACTAAGAGAGCTGCAGCACTGGCTCTTGGCAGACTGACAGAAACCAGGAAGGACAACGGCTGGGAGAAACCAGGCCCACCTGGTCCATTTCTCAGAGTCTAAGAATCCCTTTATCCATCATAAATGAGGAGAGACTGGTCCTAATACTGAAGTGGTGTGACCATGGCAGGTTCTATTTTTAACTCCCTTTCAAAATTTATAAGATGAAAGTAACACCAGGAAGGCTCAAATATTCACACAGAGACACTGATGTCAGAACAGTGTTAAGAGCTTCTTAGAAGAAAGCCACACTTATCCTACGCTAGTACCATGAGAGAGCTGAGGAAATAGTGCAGGAAAACTCGTTATTTGGTTAGGCTTTCTAACAAAAAGAGCCAAACTAGATCAGTTAACTCTGATCTAGCAATTACATTTTGCTTTCCAGTGAGTTTATCTTATTGTCATAAGGCAGACTTGTCTAGGGAATCTTGCCCTTGTGTGTACTGTTTTTCTAGACCCTCCTATTCACCATCCTGGCTTGTTCTCTCATCTGGGCTAGATTCCAGCAAAAGGTGGTTGCAGGACTCTCTCTAAAGCACAGTTTACCCTTACTGCTATAAGCAAAATGCAAAAGAAACAGGATTTTCTATCTGTTAAGTCAGGAATGGAGAAACATGGAACTTGGTTCTGAGGCTACTTGGAGAAGTTGTTTTGCCTCAGTTTCTTCTCCCTATAAATCAGCTCAGTCCTTTTCTAGGTTCTTCCAGATTCTGCTACAATAATTCATTCCTAACTGCATCCAGTGTATCATAACTCTGAAGACAAGAAGAAAATGACTGGTTCTCAGACACCTTAT